ATTTATTCTTCATTACTGGATCAGTGAGCTGCATGAGATACTGACAGGCTGTCAGGAGAGGGAGAGAGAGGGAGAGAGGAAAAGAGAGCGCTTCCGCTAATTTCTCCCGTGTTATTATCCAAAGTGAATGTAAACTTGAATAATGTACATAATTTGAATGTAATAATTAAGTTGATTGTTGTTTGTGGAAGCTCCAGTGAATGAGCCCCATTAACTGAGTTTTAAACATCATTTTAAATGGAAGATTTAAAGTGATGTTTAAATCTTCCATTTAGGCCCCGCCCACTCGATCGGATCGGCGATCGGTATCGGCCGATACTGATTCCGGCGATCGGTGATCGGCCCCGAAATTGGCGATCGGAGCATCCCTACTTAAAATAATACTTCTGCATACAGTATGTGACACTGTGAGTGTTGCACGGCCAGATACGGCTCAGCTGACTCAGATAAGGAGATATATGATACATTATGATGTGATATGCCGCGGACTGTACGTAATGTTACTCTGATCCGGTTACTTATGTTGTGGCAGATATTTAAGTAAGCTTTCTTAACGCTAATGTTATAATAGTCAGATTGCTCTGAAGATGGAGGTGATATTCTATTAATGTTCACGTTCACACAGTCGGTGATTTTTGCCGGCCGTCTTTCCTGCGACGGCAGCTTTTCTGTATTTCCTTTCTCCTGTAATATGACTTGATCGCTTTAAACTCCGCACACTGAGCTCTGATTGGTCAGCAGGCGGTGCTTTCACTGAGTTGAGCTCTTAGCCTGCAACCTAACCTGGTCCCGACCAGGTTAGCCGCTAAGCATAAGTTACCATGGAGATCTAGCCTGCTAAAAAGAGAACCAGCTTCGTACTACCGGAAAGCCGGAGTTTTCCCTGAATTTAGCCGGCTAAGCGAAAATCCTGCTTCGTAGTATACCCCCCTGTCTCATGTTTTCCTCCTTGTGTCTTGTCTGATCCTTCTTCCTGTGTGTGCCTTCCTGCCGTTAGTTTCCCTGGTGTGTCTGATTGTCTCATTGTGTTCACCTGTTGCCCTTGTGTTTCTCCCTCCTTTACATTACATGTCACTTGTTAGACACTTTTATCCAAAGCCACTTACATACTCAACACTGTGGACAATCCCCACATGAGCAATTTGGGGTGAAGTGTCTCAGGGACACAACGACATGCTGACTGCAGTGGGGTTTGAACCTGTGACCCCCTGCCCCCAAAACCAAGGCTCTATCCACTGCGCCACACGCCTCCCCTTTACCCAACTGTTTCTTGTCCCGTGATTACCCCTCTCTGTATTTAGTCTTGTCTTTCATTGTGTTCCCCTATCCGTCCATTGTTTGTCTTCCCATCACGTCACGCTCCATGTTTGTCCTTGAAGTTTTGATCCTGGATTCTGTACTCGTGCTCCCCTGTTTTGGTAATGTTAAGTTTGTTTCTTGTTTTCTTTTGTCATCGGCTTTTTGTAAAATAAAGCTCGCTTTTTGTTAATACTGCATTTGGGTCCTACCTTTTCCACGCACCCTATCAGGAATGGGGGGGGGGGGGATCTGAGGGGGCTGCAGCATCCCCATCTACGAGGCTCCACTAGCACCCGCACCCCCAAACGCGGCGCACCTACAGTGTAAGCGCGCCACAGTTTCGCCGCTGCGAGGCTCCACTAGCACCCCCACCCCCCCAGCGCGTCACAGTTTTGCCGCTGTGTGTGTGTGTGTGTGTGTGTGTATGTGTGTGTGTGTGTGTAGGTGTGTGTGGTCTAGCATTACTATACTTGTGGGGACCTAAATCTGTTTACATAGTCACGTGTGGGGACTGGCTTCGTTTACATGCAGAAAAACCTTCATAACACACAAGGGGACGGGTAATAACCAGAAAAGCATGACATGGGACCTTTACATCAGACTTTAGTTCCACCTGGAGTAAATTCACAAGCTACCCTGCAGTATAAAAAGTCATTCAAACTAGCTGCACCTTCAGCTTTGAGAACACTTTAATGATCAATCATTATAAAACATATCATATATATTATTCTGAAATGGACCAATCTGCACAATGAGTACTAAAGTACTAGATCTGAGTACTTCTCCCACCTCTGCTGTAGACATGAATGAGTGTGTGCAGAAGTATATGAAAGCAGAAGTGATGCAGTCAGAGACAGAGAGAGGGACAGAGCTGGTGGAGAACATCTGTTCCTGTAACACAGTGTGTAAATCAGTGTGAGTGGATGGTGCAGGCGAACACACGGAGTTGCTCTGTACGTAACCATATTATTGTGAAAGAGCTTGTTTTGTTGTTGATGTTGATCTTATTAGTAATGGGATCCTTGGCATTTTCTTGTCTTTGTTATTTCCAGGGCCTTTATGCTGTTTGTGCTCTCCTCATTTATTGCCTCTTCTTTCTTATTATCCTTCTCCTTTTTGTTCCGTCTCTTTTCTCTCCCAGCCAGCTACATTCCATTAAACCTTCAAAGATAACTGATGACTGCCAGGCTGCACTGCCTTGTTTTTTATATTTATTTCTGTTTTATTTATGATGGGCCTTCCCTCTGGTAGGACACACATGCCATTCCTAGCATAATGTTATATTTTCCTGTGCCTGTCCTCAATGGCACAAAAAAACATTCTTTAAAAGCCCAATGCTACCTAGAGGGCAAATAGATGCTGTCCCAGTTGCCAAGCCTAGTCCGTACCATTTTTTTTATAATCTGGCTGCCGACAAGGGCGGCACCCGACCACCCACCACCTTTTCTGTGTTTTTTTCTTTTTTGGGCAAAAGCAATATTCCCCGCTCCCCTTCACACCTTGCTTTTATGAAAAAGTAACAATCATGAAATTGAAAAAGCCACAGCTGACTTTCAGGGCCATTTCTCATGTGATCCATTTCAATTGGGTTTTTAAGATAGATTGCGTGGGGTCACAGCGTGCTCTAAACATACCGCTAACCCAGATTGTACAGCCCGCCCCGCGTCTCTGTCTGTTCTGTGTTCTGTGGCAGTGAGGGATGAAAGGCGGTGTGTGTTGCATCAGTGGCTGGCAATGCTGCATCGCATGACCTTCTTTGATGGACGCCCTTTCTCCAGCTGCGTGAGGGGACGGGGAATTCAAAAGCCCATAGCGGCTCAGATCGAGAGAGACCCCTTCTTCTTGATGTGCTCTCTCTCTCCTCTCAGCAAGGACGTGCACTCCATGCAGCGCATGCTGTTGTCTGTTTTCACACAAAGCCTTGCTTATGTCGCCTCAGATCTGTCAGTCCCTGGGGGGGATCACAGGACTCGGTGCCCGGTCCCGCAGCTCTCTCTGTGGGTCGTGGCAGCGTCGCCAGGCCCAGAGAACTTCCTGTTTTACATTTTCCTCCTGAGGCAGCAGAGCTCTCCCAGGAGACTCTTGAAGGTTGAGGAAAAGAATAGAGACAGGTCTCAGAGGTTTCTGTCAGGACACATGTTTTTGAACCATTGTCTCACGTTTGGAATCAGAGGAGAGACTTACATGACATTTACTGTGGGCAGAGGTCTGCAGAGGATTGTTCTGTACTTTATAATCTGGCATAGATTTGTAGCATTACAAATATTTCTAGAGATGGATTTTTTTGCACAAATATGCAGAGAAGTTGGCACAGTGCGATATATGTAATGCGAACCGAGTACGATTTGAATATTTAGGAAGATGGGGAGATAATGACTTTTTTTGATCATTTGTCATTTCCTGTCCTTATTTATACAATTATAATCATCTTAGTCCAAATATTGAGTAAGAAAATTGTCTGAAAGTCAGCAAGTGAACTATGTTTTATTTTGTTAAACTTTGCTCAAAGTTAAATAATGAACAAGTGCTTTGGTGTTGAACATATTCAAAGAAATCTTGCTGTCAGCAATGTGAAAAACCTTTTAAGGCTACATACAGAAATGATTCGAAATAGTCTATTATGCTGGCCAAGGGTGTTTTTGCAAAATAAATAAATGTTTATATAAAATTGTCATATAAACCTTGATGCCCCGGGTGGGAATGGCATGATGAAGAGCACTGTTAGGCTGAGTTTGAGCACAATACAGAAGGCTGTCTTTGAATATCGTCTTCACACATTCTACGCACAATATTTTGAACGTTTGCCTATTAAACACTCATTTAAATGTCAGTTGTGGTAATGAAACAGCTCCATCCAAGCTTTCAACCTCATTGCCCAAATTGGCCTGCATGTTTTCATGTATTTACTACATGAATTATTACATCCATTGGGATTGTCATTTCCTACATTTTGTTAATTTACGCACACTTGATGTCGGCATTTACAATGACTTGGCCACTATCTTGGCCTGGACATGCAGTTTGTGAGACCCTGAAGGGTCAGGGCCACAGAGTATACCTCTAGTGACTGAGCTCCCCCATATCAGCTTCTGTCTGGCCTTTGCTAACCTCAGGGCTGTTGTTGGAGGGAGGGAGTGAGACAGCAGAGTGAAATGAAGTCAGGCCGTGTGCATCCCTCTCCGTTCCTGAAGCCACTCACTGTTCGGGCAACTACCGCCTCACAGGAATTCATTTATATGTAAAACTCTATAGGCCCAGACTACAGCACTGACAAAGACTATAAGCTTCCTCACAGTCCCGCAGGTGTTATGTAATTGACCAGTGTATTGAAAACTTTGAGCTTGGCAACATAAGAGACAGTGTGACGTGATCGGAGTTAACAAGGCAGCACTGTGCTCCCCTTTGGGTTCGCTTGTCATTCTAGCTTTATGAGCTTTAAAGCTAGATTTTCAGTTTGTGACTTTCACAATAATCCGTACACAACACGAGAGCCCTGACAAAACTCAAACTTGTTTACACACATGTGGTAACCGTGACTGAGGTTACCACAGGTAAAGCTAGTCACTGACAACGCCACCTCCTGCCACGTGGACCCTAAATGTAAGTGTATGTCGTGGACCGATTTTAAAGCTTCCCTCAATAGGTTCAATTATGACAGAGGCATGAATTCCAAAAATATAACGCAGCTTTATTTAAGTGTTGGAAACAGTTTAAAATGTCAATTAATGTAAAGTGTTAAACAGGCAGATATAATTCAACATGTATATAAGTTACCCTCCTCAGTTGGGCAGGCCTGGTGTGCTGGGTTGCAGCGCCTGCTAATCGCGAGGGACAAAAACATGAAAAGCCACACACTAAAACAACATAAGCATGCAATATTCAAACCACAATCTATATAAAATAATAACAGTGAGATATTTAGCATACAGAAAAGAAAGTGTCACACCATGCAGTCCCTACACTGAAGGCAGGCAGCGTTCCACCCGGGCCCAGGACTACGCCGCCGAGGAAGAGGAGCGCAACCTAAGACACAAACAATAAAATGATTATATTGCCATAAACTGCACATGAAGAAAAAGAACAAGAAAATACAAAAAAACACTAAAGGACAGTGGCTGGCCTGGTCCTTTTGAAAAGGCCAGCCTCATTCAAGAGTTAAAAACAAGGCATAGGCCTACTACTTTCACAGAGTTATTTTCCAACTCAGCTCAATCCTGCCGGGGAAATGGTCGCTTAATATACCGGGTTGCTGGGCCGGTTGTGTGCATTAAGCTCTGTACAAAAAAAATAGGTTGCTTAAAAACGTCTGTTTAAAACGCCATTTAAAAGCAAATTGCTCGTAACAGTTCTGGGGCCTCATTTATAAAGGGATATACGCTCAAAAAATGGCGTACGCCAGTTTCTACGCAATGTTTGCGATTTATAAAATACTAAGTTGACGGGAAAACGTGCGGTCCTCCACGCAAACTCTAACCCATGCGTACGCACTAAGCACAACAACGGGAGAGACGAGAAACTGCGACACCGTTGGCAGAAGGAAGAATGGAGAGAAATGTGTGGAAAGAATACCATAAACAAAATGTTACCTCTCATTTATCATATGAAGAATTCATTTTCAAACATTGATTAAAGCCAATCTTAATTAAACAAACGCCTGTTTGCGACTCCTCAGCGCACACAAAAACATAACTTGGAGAAATAAATAAATACGGATATGTTATTTAAAACCACCTCGAATATGTTGTGTTAATGTTATGAAATGTTTTCTCATAAATGATGCGGTTTTGCATTTCTATAGGTTGTACGAGCATGGTTTTATATAATACCATGTTTAATCGTGTTTTATGCCGTTTGCTAAGACTTGATAAGTCGCTCATAAAACACAGGAGGTATGGAAACTAAGAACACCATATGTGGTAAATTGTACACGCCTAGACTACTGCAACTCCCTCCTGGCTGGTCTACCTGCATGTGCCATCCGACCTCTGCAGCTCATCCAGAATGCAGCGGCTCGTCTGGTCTTCAACCTTCCTAAATGTTACCACACCACTCCGCTCCTCCGCTCCCTTCACTGGCTTCCGGTAACTGCTAGAATCCACTTCAAGACACTGGTACTTGCTTACCATGCTGCGAATGGATCTGGCCCTTCCTACATCCAGGACATGGTTAAACCGTACACCCCAGCGCGTGCACTACGCTCTGCATCAGCCAAACGACTCGCTGCGCCCTCGCTGCGAGGGGGACCCAAGTTCCCAACGGCGAAAACACGTGGGTTTGCTGTCCTGGCTCCAGGATGGTGGAATGAGCTCCCCATTGACATCAGGACGGCAGATAGCTTGCACATCTTCCGGCGCAAACTGAAAACTCATCTCTTTCGACTCCACTTCGAGCGATAGAACTATTAACAAAGCACTTATATACTAATAAAGGACTGGCTTTTCTAAAGCCAGTTGAGTAGCACTTGAAATGTTTTTGCTCTATGAAACCTGATGTACTTTTATGATTCTGTTTTCTTCAAGTTGTATTTTGTTGGACGAACCCACTTATTGTAAGTCGCTTTGGATAAAAGCGTCAGCTAAATGCAATGTAATGTACAGCTAATATAACACAACACATTAGTTGTATTTCCTTTAACTGGTGGATATAGAGTTGCTGCAGTGGAGACGCTGCGCACAGCTGATCGACAGCTGGGACACAAACCACCAAATACAAAAACATAATTCAGATCCAGTCGTCATGACTCCACTCCGGAGGGATTCCCCGATCATGTCGTCTCTCATCAAGGGGGGGTCTCCTGTCCCCGGTACAAACACACTGCCTGAGGAAGGCTATGTGTATTGTTTTTTGTCATGAACCTTTTTCGGACCACTTATTTATTTATTTTGGTGACGATCCGACCTCCATGCTGCTACTCTGGTTCAAACGGCATCCACCAAACAATATGATTTATCTCCACCTCCCCAAAATAACCAACATCTGACACGGTGTGAGATGTCTGTTTTAGCTGTTCTGTCGTCATTTCCTGCGATCTTCTTCATGCAGTCAGTCAGAATGAATGAATGAATGAATGGGCGTTTCTTTGACTATTTATAGGCAAATCTGGGCGTTACGTGAAGCCCGCAAAAGCTGCACCGCATTTCGAGTCGATTGTGATTTATAAAGGGAAACCGGTGTAGGAAGTGCTGTACGCACTTTTCTTGCCGGTACGCAATGTTTGGTGAATCGGAAAATGTCGGAACATTTCTGTACCTATTTTTGGGATTTCTACTACGTAAGCAACCTTCCCACGTGAATCCTACGCACGGCGTTATAAATGAGGCCCCTGGTCTCGTGCCTGTCGGGAGAGTTTCCCTCCGTCAACGGTAAAATCACGTCTTGCACTTGCCCTAATAAAACCCAAACTAAATTAGCCACTTGCATAAGTTAATTTAAAAGACCATAAAACCACCTTAAAACTGTTATTCCTACCTTTGTGAGAGGGAGAAGACCAGTGACCGTCATACTTGCCAACCCTCCCGATTTTCGCGGGAGACTCCCGATTTCTTCCCGGGGTAATATTTCTCCCGATTTCTGACAAAATCAGATTTACTCACGACAGGTCTCTATACAAAATACCAGGTAAGCGCGGATACCCGTTACACTCAAAATCTGTGATTTGGCCATATTCAAATGTTTAGAGTTGTCAGGAATATTTCCTAGTGTCATAGTCTTGATGGTATAATGCAATACATATTTTAGCGTAAATAGGTAACCAATAAAATGAATAAAGCAACGGTTAAAAACCTCGTGGATTTTTCAGAATCATACGACTGACTCGTTAGCTACACGTGAAGCGATGAGGTGTGTAAGACGAAGGTGAAAGGCCCCGTGGATAGTTGGCTTAAACATGTTTAATTACTCTGTATGAAATAGAAGCAGCTTTTTCATGACAGAAGACTAGAGAGGGAGGGGAGGAAACATTCTTCTTAAAATCTCCACCAAGGGAAGTCTACATATCTTGAATAGTAGATGTGTGCGTTTAATTACTTTGTATTAATAATAAGTAGTCTGAGCTGGGAATATGATAAATTAGAACTTTGTATATATCTTTGTGAGCAAGGGAATATTCTTTAGACACAACCAAAGTTTCTGGAATGCTGCAGGATGGGCTCTGTGGGAGGAGAATCTTCCCCGACTCCTCCCCGTGGTACCTCTGTATCTCCTGTCTGTGTTCGTGTGTTCGCTCTCTCTTCTCTGGCTGCCAAGACCGAAGGATCTAAGCAGCACGCGAACCAGGGCAGGAGTACTCCTTATATTATATTATATTGTATTGTATTGCATTGTATTATTTCCTTTTATAATTAAAACAGATTATTGTTTTACTGGTATCCTGGTGTCTTCTGATTTCCTTCCTGTTATGATTTTAAGCAGCTTGCCAAACGAACAGGCGGAGCCGAGGTGGGTTGTAAAAACCTCTCAGCTACAAGAATAGTCACAGAAAACAGAACAAGAATCGACAACTCGACCCTCTCACTCCTTTCCTGTATAATACAGGTCCAGCCCACACATATGCTCCATCAAGACAGTGCACTTACAATTACAATAAGCATGTTAATGAGCCCCACTGGGTTCTGGTTTCAGACAGGGTAGAAGAGGTGCTGCAGCACAGGCATTATGAGAAAAATATATAACTTTTTGAACATTAAAGCATGGGGACATGTCCCAGCAGGACAGGACTCTTTAAAGTAGAGAGACTACATAATGATATACACCTGAACATCAGCAGGAGAGGACTCTTTAAAGTAGAGACACTACATACTGATATACACCTGAACATCAGCAGGAGAGGACTCTTTAAATTAGAGACACTACATACATACTGATATACACCTGAACATCAGCAGGAGAGGACTCTTTAAAGTAGAGACACTACATACTGATATACACCTGAACATCAGCAGGAGAGGACTCTTTAAAGTAGAGACACTACATACTGATATACACCTGAACATCAGCAGGAGAGGACTCTTTAAAGTAGAGAAACTACATACTGATATACACCTGAACATCAGCAGGAGAGGACTCTTTAAAGTAGAGACATTACATGCTGATATACACCTGAACATCAGCAGGAGAGGACTCTTTAAAGTAGAGACACTACATACTGATATACACCTGAACATCAGCAGGAGAGGACTCTTTAAAGTAGAGACACTACATACTGATATACACCTGAACATCAGCAGGAGAGGACTCTTTAAAGTAGAGACACTACATACTGATATACACCTGAACATCAGCAGGAGAGGACTCTTTAAAGTAGAGACACTACATACTGATATACACCTGAACATCAGCAGGAGAGGACTCTTTAAAGTAGAGACACTACATACTGATATACACCTGAACATCAGCAGGAGAGGACTCTTTAAAGTAGAGACACTACATACTGATATACACCTGAACATCAGCAGGAGAGGACTCTTTAAAGTAGAGACACTACATACTGATATACACCTGAACATCAGCAGGAGAGGACTCTTTAAAGTAGAGACACTACATACTGATATACACCTGAACATCAGCAGGAGAGGACTCTTTAAAGTAGAGACACTACATACTGATATACACCTGAACATCAGCAGGAGATGACTCTTTAAAGTAGAGACACTACATACTGATATACACCTGAACATCAGCAGGAGAGGACTCTTTAAAGTAGAGACACTACATACTGATATACACCTGAACATCAGCAGGAGAGGACTCTTTAAAGTAGAGACACTACATACTGATATACACCTGAACATCAGCAGGAGAGGACTCTTTAAAGTAGAGACACTACATACTGATATACACCTGAACATCAGCAGGAGATGACTCTTTAAAGTAGAGACACTACATACTGATATACACCTGAACATCAGCAGGGGAGGACTCTTTAAATTAGAGACACTACATACTGATATACACCTGAACATCAGCAGGAGAGGACTCTTTAAAGTAGAGACACTACATACTGATATACACCTGAACATCAGCAG